AAAAAAAAAAAAGCATAGGGCTGGGGAGATGGCTCAGAACACTACTGCACAAGCATGAGGATACAGGTTCAAATCCCCAGCACCCATGTTGGGCATGTTGGGCATGGCCACTGCCACCTGTAACCAGTGCTGGGCGTGGCTTGGTAGGGGCTTGCAGCATAGCTCTGGGCTCAGTGAGAGATATTCTCCTCTGACCTCCTCATAAGCATGCATGGAGAGTGCACTTATACACACACACACACACACATAAATATATAAACAAACAAATAAACAAAAGTTTTAATTAAAAATTTTTGAATCTCATATTTATCATAATTATACACACATTTTTCATACTGGTTGGCAAAAATAATACTAAAGCCAGATGGGCTAGAGTACATCTTCCCAGGGAGGACCAGGAGTCCAAGGTCATCCTTGAGTACACAGTAAGTTCCAGGCCAGCCTTGGTTACTAAGACCCTGTCTCAAAAAACAAACAGAAATGTCAGGTAAGTCCCGGTTACCTGGGAGACAGAGGCAGGAGAAATGCAAACCTGAGGCCAGCTTGAGGCTATACAGAAAGTTTCAGGCCAGCTGGGGTGACCAATGAGAGCCCATCTTACTTATTTGTGTGTGTGTGTGTGTGTGTGTGTGTGTGTGTGTGTGTGTGTGCGTGTTTTCCCTGGAGTTAGAGTTCAAGGTGGCTATGAGGCTCCTTGATTCGGGTGCTGGCAACCGAACTCAAGTCCTCGGGAAGAAGGACTCTTAACCACCTTCCACCCCCAAAACATAAAACTAAACAGAGGCTGGGGATGCAACCTGGGGATAGAGTGTTTGCCTAGTACATGCGAAGCCTAGCAAGGCATGGTGGAGCAGAGCTATAATCCCAGCACTTGGGAAGTGTAGGCAGGAGGATCAAGAGTTCAAGGTCAGCCTCCACCATATATCAAGTTCAAGTCCAGTCTGGTCTCCATGAGACTCTTGTCTCAAAAACAAAACAAAACACAAAACAAGAAAAACAAAACAGAACTACTATTCTTTTCCCTAGTACCCAACCAGTGCTTGTGCTGAACTGAACAGACAGCAAGGGATGATCCGGTACAGCACTGGCTGGGCCATCAGGTCCCCAGTCTGGAAGGGACAGTGGCCATGTGCCATTTTGAAAACAGTGCTGAGAGTTAAGGAGGACAGACTTCCTGGAAGAGGCTGCTCCTGGGACACAGAAAACACCACAATGGTGCCACAATGTAATTTGTAAACCGCCTTCATGCTTATTATTTAAAGCTTTCTACACCATAAACCTGCAACATAAGATTTTATTTTATATATGTATGTTGTATACTTACGTGTGCAAGTGTCTGTGTGTTTGTGTGTGTGTGTAGAGGCCCGAAGTCTACACTGGGTATTTTCCTCTATTGCTTTCCACATTTTTGGTATTTTTTTTGTTTGCTTGTTTGTTTGTTTGTTTTGAGACATTTATTGAACTTGAATCTCATTGGTTTGGCTAAAACAGGAGCTTCACCTGTTTTGTCTTGTTTTAACATGTGTTCTGGGGATCTGAACCCAGGACCTGGTGCTGGTGTACCAAGCATAATGCTCACGGAGTCATCTCCCCAGCCCTGGATTATCTTTACTTTACAGTTAGAAAATAAAGGATTAGGGAAGTTAGATTGTTTCCCTGAGGGCACGTGGTTCCATATATCAAATCACATCACCCTGTGCTGGGCCCCAAAACCGAAAGGTCTCCTATGGTCTGGTCAGGTGGCTCCACCGGTGGGGTGCTTGCCTGGCATGGAAGAAGCTGTGGTTTCCATCCTCAGCACCTCATAAACCTAGCCATGGCAGGACACTCCTCTGACCCCAGTACTCAGAGGGGCAGCGGAGGAGTTGGGAGTATCAAGCTCGCATCTCTGTCTTCATAGCTAGTTTGAGACCAGCGGAACTACGAGAGACTCTGTCTCAAAACAAAAAGGAATGGATAGAATGATGTCTTCCGGATCTGCCCAGGACTGAGAGGTAGCTAGTGCGAGGCAGCCTGGGTCAAGGTTGGGACCACTTCCAGCTGCATCTCCCAGCAAGCTATTAACCTCAGCAGCCCTCAATTTCCTCTGAATAAAATGGGACTTCCAACCACTCCATCTGCTCTTGAGAAGAGTAAAGATAGCAGATAAAGTCCTACATTTAGAGGGCCTCCAAACATCAAAATTAGCTACAATTGTAATACCTTTTATGTTTCTCTTGGTCTCTTAAGATACCAATGGTTTTGGTTCTGGTTACTGAAATTCTTTTTGAGCTCACTATGCATAGCCACAGTTGGCCTGGAATCTGCTCTTTAGACCACACTGGCTTCAGCCTCACAAAACAACTCTTGCCTCTGCCTCATGAGTGCTGGGACTGCCAGGGTGTCCCACCCTGTCTGCCAGCTCCAAAGAGTTTCAACAACTGAGTTGGATTGTAGTGGCTCAAGTCTATAATCCCAGCACAAGGGAGGCAAATACAGGGAGACTGAAGAAAGTTTGAGGCCGGGCTGGTATTCAAAGTAAGATCCTCAGAACAATAGTAACACGAAAAACAAACAAACAAACAAACAACTTAGCACTTGAGAGATAGAGGCAGGTGGATCTCTGTGTATTCAAGGCCAGCCTGCTCTATAAAGTGAGTTCCAGGATAGCCAGGGCTACAGAGAAACCCTGTCTCCAAACCCCTACCCCAAGAAAAGAGAGAGTTTCAACATCTGTATATACCTCAACACACACACACACACACACACACACACACACACACACACACACACACGTCAAAATCTGGCTATTTACAAGTGTTCCACGCAAGGTAAAGTGAGACAAGAAGGACCATTGTCCTTCTTGGGTGTTCCCTGAACAACTGGGGAAAATGTTAGTCATGGGTAGAAACACCCAAATGCCTAATTTCCATCTCTCTATATTAAGTTCAAACTTTTTAAAGATTTTCAAATAATTCTGGTCTAAGTGTATGGGGTGGGGGGGGAGTTAGCGTGAACACGGCGTGAGTATGGAGATCAGAAGACAACTCAGAAACGTTGGTTCCCTCCCTGGGATGGAATTCAGGTGGCCAGACTGATAGCAGGCGCCTTTACCCCTCAGCCATCTCCGCTGACCACAAGCTCAAACTCTCATCCGTAGCTTATTGTGTCAGCTTTAAGTTATCAGAGGTTCTCGAAGAATTGGATGCTATAAAATAGCTCGTTCATTTTCTTCTTTCACTTAAAAAAAAAAAAAAAGGTGTGTGTATGAGGGGGAGAGGATGTGAAAACTTTTTTTTTTTTTTCCAGAAATGCACAAGGTTAAACGCAAATTTCCTTTTTAAAAAGGGAGTCAGTTCAGAAGATCTGAGAAATTAACGAACAAACTCTTCGGGACGCTGCGAAGCGTGTGGCAGGGGCTCCTCCCCTCTTGGAACACAACTCCCCGACTCTCCCTCAGACACTAGAAGTGGCTCCAGGGGTCTCAGAACAAGCGGCGGATTAAAGTCCCCCGGGGAAAGAAAGGGCTTTCTTGCGTGCACAGTCCATTTCCTGAGCACACCCCTATCTCTTCCATCTCTCCTCACAGAGCACAGACCTGCCTCTGGCAGAGCAGAACAAGGATCTGCACCGCTCGGCAGTCGGATCCGAAGGGCTGTGCTCTCAGAAGTGGGCTTCACATACAGATGAACTGATGACCACACACCCCGCGCCTCACAGCTCGATTCAGTCCAATCAATGCAGCAAGCAGAAGAGCTGGAGGTAAAAGCGGACGGTGGCTTTTGTTGATAACCGCGGTGGAATTTTGGCCATCTGCCCTGGTGAGACCAGACAAATAAGGCGGTCTGCTTATCGGCTGTCAGGCATACTTTGGAGGGTGAAAACAAGCTCAAATCAGGATTCCGGGTATCACTGGTCAGCTTACCCCACCCGACACGCAGAGGTCTGACAGTCCAAGCGTCTCATTCCCGCCCCAGACTACACGCCTCCACTCCTCCAGTCCCCCCGGGGTAATTTTTCAAGTTGGGCCACACTTCACATTTCCTACATTCCTTCTCATCACGCAGACCCCTTCTGCCCAGCCTGAGGCCAACAGCTGGGGCTACCGAGAGGCACCGTTGACTGGGATAGTGAGGGACCGAGGGAGAAGTCAACACGAGCGCGAAGCGACGGAGATCTCTCCTTCACACCCCCAGGTAGGCAAAAACCAAGGGGCTCCCCGGTGCTTCTCCGACCCAAGAGCACCCCTTCCGCCAGCCCCTTCTCGCTGCATCTCCCCTTGGCCTCCCTGTGACCCCTGACGGTGCTCACCGGGTCCGACCTCCCGGCCTCATGGATCCGAGGGTCCCCGGAGTGCACCCTGGTCCCCGGGCCAGCGGGGATGCCGGGTCCGGTACAGCGCGATACTGCCTGCAGTCACCTTGCCTAATCCCCTCAGGGCCTGCAAGACCCTCACTCTCTTCCCAGCCTCTCTAGCACCCCGCATCACTCCGGGTGCCCCACGGGTGCCTCAGGGTTCTCGACCCTCACCTGAGTCCGCTCGAAGCTCTCGCGCTCCGCAGCCTCCATCCCAGCACCAACCCCGCGCCGGCTCAACACTTTGGGCAGCGGGTTGGGGACCTGCTTCATGGAGCTGGCCATCCGGTCCATGTCGCCTGGGTGAACACAGTCAGGGGCCCTCGGCCGCCCCGGGATCTCCGCGGCGCCTCCCGCCCCGCCCTACCCGCGGGGATCCGGCGCTAACGGGGACAGATTCCGCCTCCCATTGGTTGAAAGCGCTGTCCATCTCCCTCAGGACCCACCTCAACTCTCCAAGAGGCTTTCCCCACGTGCCTCCGCCCACTTCGGAGAAGTTCATCCCACTTGGCCGGCTGGCCTGCCTCCAGGCGGTCGGCATGCTTATGACTGGTCGGAAGGTCTGTCCGTTATTGCCAGTGGGCAGAGCCTGGTAGGCCGCCGTCCCAACTTGCCCTCCGAGGCTCCTCCTCATGCCTGGTGCACCGCCTCCTGGGCCCCTCGATGCACTGTGATTGGTCTGAAGACTTATTTGTCCTCACAGAAGGGCTGGTCCTGGCGGGCTGCCCTAACCTTCCCTCGCTGGCTTCACCCTGCATCCATCCCTCCTCCTTGCTCACGCAGAACCAAAATGGCATCATGATTGGTCTAAAGGCCTGTCCGTCATGTTGATGGGGCGGGCCCCGGCTCCCCCAGACCCGCCCTTGCTGACTCCACCTCCTAGGCCCTCCACAGCTGCGGGTATCCGAGCACTGGGAGCAGCGGTCCTGCAGGCGCCACCTGTGGCTCGGAAAGGCCCATCACGGGAAGCGTGGCTGCAGAGCCCTCGCTCAGCTTTGCAGGGAGCTCCGCGTCAGTGTGATCCGACGAGGCGGCATCAGTGGTCCTCGCATCCTATCTCTGCCCATTCTGGAGGATCGCGGACCAGAGGTCTCCGGTGCCGTGACTCTGGTTACTCCCCAGAGCTTCCCAAACTTCGCATCATGCCCACCTTACCTTGGCAGAACCCCCCCCCCAATGCTGGGGGGGTCCACTCCTCCCATCCTGCTAGGGCACCCACAGGCTAGGACGTGTGCTCCTCAACAAAGGGAAAAAGTTACACCTTCTCCACTAACAGAACTAATGGCACCGTTAAGCATTAAACAATTTGGTGATTCTACCCATCTGCCTATGCAGTAGAACTCAGGGTCTCACTCTAGGCAATGTTTAATTAATTAATAACAGCATCGAGCTCATGATGTAGCTGAGTCCCTCGAGTCCCTGATGGTCTTGCCTCTTCCGCTTAAGTGTTAGGATTAGAGGTGTGTGTCACTGTGGGGTTTTCTGCCTGCCTCTGCCTCTGCCTCTGCCCCCAGAGTGCTGGGGTTAGTGCCCCCACCACCTGGCTGCTTGACTCTTCTTAAGATGTGTGTATCTATGTACCTGAGAGGGGAGGCTACATGCTGCAGTGCACCTGTGGAGGTCAGAAAGCAAATAGGATTCTGTTTTCTACCCTGTGGGTCCCAGGGATCTGACTTAGGTAGTCAGGCTTAGTAGCAATTTACCCACTGAGGTAGCTCACCAGTGGGACTCTTTAAAGACAGTGTTTCAAGACTGGTCGTGGTGGTGGTAGCCCATGGCTTTAGTCCCAGGACTGTGGAGTCAGAGGCAGGTGGGTCTCTGAGTTCAAGGCCAGCCTAGTCTGCAGAGTGAGCTCCCAGACAGCCAGGCTGCACAGAAGAACCCTGTCTCAAACAAAACAAAATAAGGACAGTGTTTCACTAACTCATCTAGACTGGCCTTGAACTCCCAGAAATCCTGCCTCAGTCTCTTGAATACTGGGATGACAGGCATCCATACACCTGTATGCCCACAAGCCACAGATCCTCTAGGCTCCCACAGTGAAAGAGGTGCTATTTGCAGGAGCGTGCCACTTTGTGTGTGTGTGCAAGAATACACGTGCACATTGAGACCTGAGGCTGACGTCGAGGATCCTTCTCTAGCACTCTTACATCTTGCATGGAGGCAGGGTCTCTTGTGAAATGCAGAGCTTACTGATGCGGCCAGCCAGAGCACCGGGAGAGCTACTGAAGGCTTTTGCCTTGTGGGTACCAAGCTGCCTGGCCTAGATGGAAATGAAGGAACAGAGGGAGCAGTGCCAGCAGTAGGTCAGTGTCCTAGTTAGGGTTCCTGTTGCTGAGTTGAAACACCATGACCTAAAGCTAGTTGGAGAGGAAAGGATTTATTTGAATTACACTTCCACACTGTAGTCTATCACTGAAGAAAGCCAGGACAGGAACTCAAACAGGACAGGAACCCGGAGGCAGGAGCTGATGCAGAAGCCATGGAGGAGTGAGGCTTACCAGCTTGCTCCTGATGGTTTGCTCCTGATATTTGCTCCTCATAGCTTTCTCAACTTGCCTTCTTGGCTTCTTCCCTCCTAAGACAGGGTTTCTCTGTGTAGCCTTGGCTGTCCTGGACTCACTTTGTAGACCAGGCTGGCCTCAAACTCACAGAGATCTGCCTGCCTCCGCCTCCCTGAGTGCTGGGATTATAGGCCTGCGCCACTGCCCCAGATTCTCAGCCTGCCTTCTAATAGAAACCAGGACCTACCCACAGTGAGCCCCACCCACAGTGAGCAGGCTCGTCCCCCATCAATCACTAGTTAAGAAAATACGCTACAGGTGGATCTTATGGGGGCATTTTCTCAGTTGAGGTTCCCTCCTTTCAAATGTCTCTATCTTGTGTCCGGTTGACAGAAAACTAGCCAGGACAGCTGGTGAGGCAATAAAGATCTAGAACAGAAGAGGAGAAAGCTCTGCCCATTAGGGAGTGATGTGAGTAAGCTCATGCCAAGGGGATGTGGCAGGAGAGGCAGGAATGCCAGGAGAGGGACTCCAGTAGTCCAGGTGATCTGTGTAAGAAGGAGCTAGTCTATAAACTACTGTGGTGGGAAAGAATGTGTGGGTTTGGGCAGCATGTTTTGGGGGTTACCTGTGTCCGACAAGTGTGCAGAAGCCAGACAGGGTGTCAGATCCCTTGGTGTTAAAGATGGCTGTGAGCCACCTCATGTGGGAACTATCAACCTTGGGTCCTCTGGTGAATGCTGAGTTGTCTCTCCAGCCTTCAACCTTTACCTTGTGTTTTTGAGACAGGGTCTCTCCCGGGGTCTTGAGCTCACTAAGTATGTCAGCAAGCCCTAAGGCTCCCTCGCTTCTGCTTCTGTGTGCAGAAAACACACGTCTGTTTTGTCTTGTTGTTGGTAGTGGTGGTGGTAGTGGTGTGTGTGTGTGTGTGTGTGTGTGTGTGTGTGTGTGTGTGTCTCATGTGGATTCAAGGAATCAACTCAAGCCCCTGTGATTGTAAGACAAGAACTTTACCAGCTGAGCTACCACCTCCATCCAGTACCCGAGGGAATGAGCTCCGTGAGGAGCACCAGTAGGACAGTCAGGGCTAGCACTCTGACCCCGGTGTGGCCATTCTGAACTCCACACTTGTCTTATGCTCTGGGCTCAGCTAAAGACAGATTTAGGCCTCTTCGTCCAGATTTTATGACATCAATAAACACCAGCCTTTTAAACAGGGATTAAAGGATCAGCTTGTTCTTATTGGAGTAAACCAGAGTGGGAAAGAGGAATTTGTGGTTTGGAGGCACCGGGTAGGGAAAGATTCAAGAGAGTTAGATTTCCTGTGACACAAAACAGGTCAAAAAGAAGGAACAAGGGTTGTGGGGGGAAAGGGAGGGAGGATCGCAGCTCACTTGTAGCTCATAGAAGGCCCGAGTCCCACCCCAAGCACTGTATAAACCTGGCATGGTTCAGTGATGTGTCCCCTACCAACCCCGCATACAAGTTCAGGGTCATCCTTGGCTACACAGCAAGTTCTGGCTCAAGACCAGTCTCAGCTACATGAGATCAGTCAAAAGTGATAAGACAGTGGCAGTGAGGATCCACACAGAAGACAACCACCTCCTGCAAGCTGCCCTCCGACCACCCTACGTGGGCCTCCCAGGGCACCTGTGTAAATGCACATGACCGGCATAGTGTGTCCCAAACAGTTTGAATCTGTTCGGTATCCAGTCTGAGAATGTTCACAGCTGTGGACCCGGGACTGGGAAGCACCTGTTGGGATGACTGGGCTCTTGTATCCCCGAGCAATCGAGCCAGGATCACATGGAGAGCAGTACATACAGAAACCGCTCGTTAGGAAAGAAAGGCATGAGTAAGAATAGGTCAGCAGCCTCAGGAAGGCCAGAAGTTAAATGGCGCTGGGTCTAACAGCCAACTCTTTTTCCTTTCTTTCTTTCTTTCTATCTATCTTTCTACCAAGAAAAGTTTTATTTTTCCTTTTTATTGCAGTAGCTTTGTTAGTTACAAAAATCATGGTTTTTTTGCCATTTAAATGTTATCACACAATCCTATTCTGAAAGACAAATGTTCATCAAAAACAAAGTGAAAATAAGAATTCACAACCTCAATCACCTAGATTCGTCATTTAAAGAAAAGAGAGAGAAGGAGCTTCCTTACAAGCATTTTCACAATGTCCTGTTTACTCCAGAAAAGGGAAGGATTTCAAAGCAAAAGTGAAATAGCTTCAGTGGAAATCATAGTAAAAAGGAAGTTCACAGGACTGTCAACAATAATTAGACAGCAGTGGCTAACCTACAGTGTTTTCCCCCTTGACCCACTAACACCAGGACCAAGACAGGCCGGGTCCAGGCAGGAACATGCTCAGCACTGCAGTGAATGAACAATTGTGCTAACCCCGACAAGCATTTGCTGTTCCTTGGAGAAGCCAACGCTTTATGGATTGTTTCTATGGCTTGCATGTTCTGCACCTGCAGATCTTGGGCCTTTTTTGGACATCCTCACCCCTTCACAAGTGGGTGTGTGGGGGGTGTTTGAGATAGGGTTTCTCTGTTCTAGGTAGCCCTGGAAGTTCTGGAACTCTGTAGCCCAGTCTGGTCCCGAATTCAGAGATCCACCTGCCTCTACCTCCCTGGAGCTGGGACTAAAGATGTGAGGCACTATAACTGGCCAATAAAAAAATAAGGGTGAAAATTCAAGAAATAGGTCCCAGTGGTCCAGGTACATCATGCCAGGTACTCATACAGCTGAGGAGAGAGGTAGCAGAGTCAAAAAGCTGGACTAGAGAGTAAGTTCAAAGCCATCATGAGCAACTTGGTGAGGCCCTCCCAATATAAAGCACAAAAAGAGGC